CTTCAAGTATTCTCCACCTTGATGTCTCCTTTCTGCTGGATCAAAAAAAAAAATTAGGTTTGGGCTTTTCTGGGTTGTAAAAAACAGCCCTTTATTACACCTGGGCCGGTTGGAAAAGCCAGCCCAATGAATGGGCCTGGGCCTTTGCACCATGAGGTGCAAAGCCCATGCATCCATGACTGCACCTGAAGATGCAGTCACCTACAGCAGCTTGAAGGCTGCTACAGTTCTGCCATGGTCGACCTTCGGCCATGGTAGCCGCCCTTTCGCCGGCGACTGTCACCGGCAACCATATGGTCGCTGGAAAACTTTTTTTTTGATAGTTTGGAACTTTTCTATAAAAAAAAATTGTTGAAACTCTTCCATGATGATCCTCTTGCGTTAGGAGAATAATAAATTACATATTGATTCCTATTTTACAATTGATCTAATCAAAATAAAATAGCAAAAACTAATTCCATGGAACCGGATAAAACATCATATGCCAATCCATTCGCACAATGATTATACCAATGCATTCGCATAAAACATAACCATCACACAATAATTATACATCATATGCATAAGTGCCTACCCATTAACATCTAAGAATTATCACATAATTTAAACGTTAAATTAGCATGAAATAAATATCGCTCTCATACTAATTGTTGGTTTCTCAAACCGCATTTCAAAAAAAAATTGTGTCGAAGCGTGGTATCGATCGAATCACATAAATCAAAATTTAATACGATCATTATTTCATGTTAATTTAACTACAAAGATATTAAAGAGAAGAAGAAGAATTTTATTGTCGCTCAATTAGGACGGAAATCTTGAACTCCTCTAACACCGTCTTGACCTCTTCAATTCCAAGAACACCACGATTCTTTCTCAACGTATCTCCGGATTAACATGAACTCGAACGTGTGGGCATTCTAATGGGTTTCTCAACACATGGGATGAATGAATAGGAAATTTTGTTCTCACGGTTTTCTCTTTTTCTGTTTTCTGGAAAAACTTTCTTTTTTCTCTCTCAAGGAAAAACTTTTTCACGCCCCAGAACTAATTCATCTGGCTATTGTTCCTCTCTTAAAAACACAGAACTCATTCCCGTTTTTGAGTAAATGTGCATCCGCACATTTACTCCATTTCCTCATGGCGAGGAAACGTGCAACAGCACGTTTCCTCCCACTCCCCTTTAATTTTTTTTTTTGAGTTTTGAGGAAATGTGCAGCTGCACGTTTTCTTTCTTATATATATATATATATATATATTAACGTGGGGAGGGAGGAGATTCTCACCTTTTATATGATTAAATTCATCCATCTTAATTTAAAATAATTTTAAATTAATTTTAATATTAATTAATCGAATTAATTAATATATGTGTATTTAGAATTCTCAATTCTAAATTAATAATCATAACCCAATATGATATATTCAATTCACATTAATCTTATGGAGCCGTTGAGAGGAACTATGAACATTATTATTTTAAGCTCCAATAATTTTGACAATTAATTAACACCTTAATTAATATATCAAAATTATTAATTCCAAATTACTCCACTATAAATTTAGAATTGCACTCTTAAAATAATAAAAATAATTATGTTCACGGAATTTGTGTTGTCCATTGATAGTCACTACATACGAATTAATCCTCCATAAACGGTTCATAATTAAAGCTAGGTATTTTCCACTAACCTCTTTAATTACATCTTTCTCCATAAGTATCATTGATCCTCTAATGAATAATATATTTTATGATCCAATCATAAAATTGAGCGCTCTTATTATTCAAGTTTTGAATCAACACTTATGGGAACCGTCCATCTACTTCATTATGAAGGAATGGATTTCATCTTGTAAATTAATATTCCTAGCTATTTATTTTACTATACTCTCAATATACCAAGACTTTGACACTATTCACATGTGTCATTACTCTATATGTCAAAGAACATAATATCATAAATAGGAGTTTTCTAATTACTCAGAATTAAGATTAATTCATATATGACCATCATTGATTAATATTGAATACTCTATTTAATAACGGAATTTATTAGAGATTCATAATTAATCGTGTTCCGGTCCTATGTAATCATATTACATAAAATGCTTTCATTCCAATAATCTCATTATTAACAATCTAGGATAAGATTGTTTCATTCAGAATGTAATGAACCACATTAGTAATTTTAAATTAAAGATCCCAACTTTAATTTATAATTACGGACAAGTTTAGATTATTTTATTTCAAACATTATCCTCTGCATATAACAATTATATACAATGTTTACATTTACATCAAAAAATAATCTAGGGATTTTGATATTTATAAAACATCACATGTATGCAAAATAATATTGAAAAAATGCCTCATTTCATTGATAATCAACAAAATATTTACATCTTATTTGATTTATAGGCATATATCCCAACAGATCCTTCTATGATGCCGATTTGTGTGATGTGAGGCCGGCCTTCTTCTCCGGCGCCAATTCGCGAGCATCTCCTCAACAAAGACCCTCCACGATATCGGTTCTCCTCAGTCGAGATCTATGTTGCCAGCAAGGTTGTTTTCTTCACCAGCAAAGGAGAAGAACCAGATCTGCTCAATAACGATTGTAGATCGCAATCTCCGATTTGAAAACCATAGCACAGAGAATCACAAAGTAGAGAGGGTCGCGGAAGAGAGAAGGACTCGCGGAGGAGAGAAGGACTAGCAGAGGAGAGAGCGACTGGCGGAGAAGAGAGGGTCGCGGAGGAGAGAGGGTTGCATAGGGGACTAAGGAGAGAGAATCACGAAGGGGAAGAGAGAGAATGGGGTCATGAGAGTAGAGAGAGAGAAATGGGAAGAGAAAAAAGAAAGAGACAAAATCTTAAGGGTAAATTTGGGAAGCAAACTATTTGAAATTAATAATATGCTATAATTTATTAAGTTTAATATATTACGCTATTTGCTTCAAAAGTACTTATAAAATATGTTGTATTCTGTATTTTTCCTAAAATGAAAACTAATGTTTGCCGAATGCCCAATTTCTAATCATATCCTACCTTAAAAGCTTTTCCATAGTGGTTTTGATACGACTAAAAAAAATGAATTATCAATAATTTTTTAAATTTAAACTGTCACATTTATATCAAAAATTATTTATTTTTCATATTATGTAATTTTGAATAAATTTAATAACTAACACTACCAATAGACATACGAATAAGATTCTTGTTTTAACTTAAAGAATTTTGAGAAGATACTTATTTGCATCCAACGTTTTTTTTTATTTGACATATTTGCGCCCAACACCAACATAAAAAGTCCAACATTCGACCCAATAAGAGTAGTAATGTAGGGTAGCGGACTAGCGGTGTAATTGGTCCATTGTTGTACTTTTCTCTAAACTGCCCATCTGTGTACTTAAAGATCCATCCATCAAAACGTCAACGGAATCACGAGAGGCTGATTTTTTGTCCTTTTTAAATTAAGTAATTTGAGTGTAGATTTTAAATTAAATTTAAATTATAATTGAGTTGAAATTATAACTTAAGGTCCCGTTTATTTCATTGATTCGAGTTTTGCTACAGTAAAAAGCTCTCACAAACAATCACATCTAATTTTTTTGCTACAGTAAAAAATTCTCACATAAAATCACATCATAAGAATCTTTTTGAATTTGTGTTTAAGTGAGTCAAAACTTGAATTTATATTTAGATAGTATTTTAATAAAAACTCAATGTTGATGAAAATTTTTAATAGGGTATATGGGTGGAGTTTTATTCGTCTTTTCGTTGTCAACGCATAGAAAAAAAAATTATCTCAATCAGAATTAAAACGAAAAAGTTATAGCATTTTTAAGAATAGAAAAAATATTGTTCATTAATTTGAGTTCGAGTTTCTGAACTCGAGTTGAAAGAGAAACTTGAACTCGAGTTTTAGTCTCAAGCTCGAGTTCAAACTTAAAAGAACATGAACTTAAATAAAGTTGTAAGTCGAGTTTTTTTTTTTTTTGAATTTTTGACTCAGAAAAGTGGTTGCTGAACAGCCCCGACATATTCCAAAAAATGTGTCCAAGACGGGATAGGTGAGTTTTAAATCCCGCTAATCTTATCAATTTGAATTTAAATTTTAAATTTTATTACAGCAAAAAATTTAATAAAATAATTATATTTAATTTTTTTTATTATAATAAAAAATTTTCATATAAAATTATATTTTAATTTAAATTAACAAATTAAACAGGGTCTTTAACCACGAACCACAAAAAATATGTCGTTTGATAGAGTGAGAAAAGAAATCAGCTAGCAGTGAGTGAATCACCGCCAGACCCATGCACTTTGTGATTGTCTCCTTAAATTTGACACTGCCCCATTCTTGCGCATTAAATTTACTTCACCAGAACTCGGTGCTCACACTGTAATCCTCCAAGGAAAACAAGAGACAAACACAATCTTTATCTAGGCCATTTTCATATACGCTGTGGTCCCCGAAATAACTGCTGTAATTAAAGAGGTTAAGGGACATAAAATACATCACCATATTCTTTTTTTCCTTTTTTTACTAGCAAAAAAAAAAAACAAAACAAAAAACAAAACAAAAACAATCTTGATCTGTTTTCTGTTTTTTTATGTTTTTGTTGATATACTAGTAAGTACCCAACTGCAAAGGGATCCATTCTACGTGTCCATTTATTTTCAAATTCTTTATTTTCCTCCACACAAACAAATTAACAAAGCAGGAAAGATTAGAGACCAAAGCAAGTCATAAAGGACCATCACTAATAGAAGATAAGTCTCACCTGTAAATTATATGTTGCGGAAGCGGAATCCTCTTTTTATTAGTGGATTGTGCTCAATACTACTGGTGCCTTATAGCATTGTTTATTAGTAGCGTTGTTCTTTTGTTTTGTGCTGAACAACCATACTAATAGGCGCCTTTGGTATATAGCCATAATAAAATGCTGAAACAGGATCAGAAATTCCACTGAATTAACTTTTACCCATGATGTATGTCAATGCCTTGTAGAAATAAAACAACTATAAGTTGTTTTAGCAAAGCATGTAGAAGAAGTGGCCCATCAATTAAACCAAAATTGAGTACATATGAGGAGATTACATACATGGAGAGTGAGTGAGATCTGTTTTGGCAAACATGTTACAAAATGGAGGAGGCATTTTTCATAAAACATAGTAACAAAACGTTACAAAAGCAGCAATGCCGCTTAGGATACAGAGTCTATCTAGCCGGCTTTCATTTCTCATCTTCTCCTCTTTCAACTCACTCTGCACTTTCGAGTACAGATGACAAGACTCGAGAACTTCACTGTAGTTTTTGCTCCGTCGGCAGCTTAGTGCTTCCTTAAGAATCAGCAAACTGTTTCTTCCGTTGACATGAGAACCTTCCATGTCTTCCAACTGCATGCTTACCTCTGTTAACTTAAGAGTTGTTGGAACAGCATCTCCTTCCGTGTGGATCACGCGAAACTTCATACTGAGTATGCATTCGACTACTTGACATGGAAGAATGTCTTTTGCAGGAAGTATGGACCCAAACCGTATCACAAAATCTCTGTCCGTCGGCCAATGCCTTTGCCCACCGAGAGCGCTCCAACTAGCAAGATTAGCAGCTTGCTTTATTTTTTTGTTCACAACAATCCAACTAAGTTGGAGTCCATCACGAAGCTCTCGCCATAATTTTCCATCTTTCCTTTCTCTCTCCAAAGATAAAATCGGTGGCAAACCATCAGAAACTGAAAGGATGATTTCACCATCATCGTCATCATCTCTAGAAGCATAAGTGAGAAGATCAATCCTGAATGGGCAGTTGTAAAACCAACCATTGAAGCTATTCGCATTTGGAATGCCCCAAAGAACTTTCGAGCAAATTGTTTTATCTTTATACCTGATATCCACTATGGAAACAAAGTCTGAAGGTGAAATACTTTCGAGTTCATCCATGTCACCGTAGTATTCAGCCTCGGTCCATTCTTCAGGATACTCACTATACTCATTCCATTGATATTCAGAAACTTCCTTGTTTATAATAAGGGGAAAACAGTCCGCGTAGAACTTTCTGAATCCACCAATAGATGTTATTAGATTTTTAACATCTTCCCTGTTGGTTGAAGGCCACATAGTGGAACAGACATTTACCCATAATCTCTCTTCCCTTGAGATGGAACAAAAGGCTGCACAAGCACATGCCGCAGTAGCCAAAGTCGGTCCGTCCAGACGCCTTAAAATATCATAGAAAAGATCAGTGCTCAATGATGCCATACTCTCAACTGGTGCAATTGATGTCGCCATAGGTCTCAGACTCTCAGCATCTAAGAAAGCAAAGAACACAATAACTTTCCTAATGTCTCAACTAACAATAAGCAGAAATCACAAAACTTTGCCTACTGAATATTTAACACAACTTTGCCAGAAGCTTTAAACAAAATGGAATCAATGGACTTATCAAATTTTGGCTAAACCGTGAAAGATATGTGTACAACAGAATTAGCAGTGCTAAACGATCTAAACTTCCTAGAAAATAAGACCCCAACCAGATCTTTTTATCATTAACAACTTGAATGCAGGGAAATCCTGCAAAAAAAAAAAAAAAAAAAAAAAATCATTTTGGGGATTCCTCTATGTACATCTCATTTCCACAAGCTACATGTATCGACTAAGAGAAATCAGAAGAATACATAAACCACTATACACGTTCTCTTTTGTTCATGTTCATGATTGTTTCAAACTTTCATTCAACTGAAATGGGATTTTGTTTCGTTTAATTTCCATTTGTAAATCTCAGATTATCTGATTCTTTCGTTTGAATTTTGCTTAGTTCTATGTTTGAGTGCGAAAATAACAAACTAGACAAGAAGCAAAATCAAGACTACGATTAGTCACCAAACTTATTGGGTCCTTAAGCACAAGAAAACAGGACAGATGAAAAATGATAATAAGCTCAAATCGCGCTATGTATAATAGTGGATACATTTAGTTACTGTTTCAAAAGTATCAGCTGCGGCTTGGAGTTAAAACATATGCTCTGTCTACAAGAAGACTAGCTTTGCTAAATCATTATGAAATACAATCAGATTAGTTTTGCATATACAAACCACAAAAGGAGTATTTGTGAGAAAAGTAACAATCAATTGGAATGAAGGGCTGAAAGAAGCATTTGATAATGAGAATATAGCATAAGATTAAAATATCAGATTTGATAAGTAACCGAGTAAAACAAAATCTGACTATATTAGCATATATATACACCATGATGAACGAGTAGGGAGATTGACCCGTTCAAGCACTGAATTCTAAAGTCGTGATGGATCAATCAACCTAAAGACCAAAAGAGTCATTAGGTATAAAGTACAGATAACTTTGAACAAAAAAGGGGGAGATATTTAGGGGAAAGGAACGTGGTTCTTTCCCATCATGACCAGAAAATCTATATAATCTATCCAAACAGAAAACAGAGTAAAAGCAATAATTCACCAAATTGCAACAAAAAAAGGGGAAATAAAAATAAAATAATGCATAACTAAAAAAACAAACATGGGAAATGCTCAAACAGGCCAATAGATTCCAATAAAATTAAGACGAAAAGAGCAAGAAAAATGAGATTTTCATTCAGCCAACAACAATAAATATTCTAACAAAAATAACTGCCGAACAGCAAAAAGAATTCTGCAAAAACAGAAGTTTACATTCAAGAAAGATGAGAAAAGAAGAGGTGGGTATGGCTTCAAACCTCATAGATTGGCCATTAGAGAGAGCCCAAGGAAGAGAAACAGAAATAAACCCTTTGAAGCTTTGACTTTTCTTTTTCTTTTTCTTTCGAGGTTTCCAAAGAAGAAACGACTTTCCTTATAAGAGAAATCTAAGAAGAACCCAGATAGAGGAAGCGGAATCTAAGGACGAAATGTGATGATATCTGGGTTCTGGCGGATCATAAAGGATGAGTTCGTGAGTCACTTTCTTCTTGTGTTGGAAGGTTTTCACGCGTGTATCTTTGGCACGAAACTACAAGATATGATATGGGATTCTTTTTATTTTTGTTTTTATTTATTATTTGTTTTATTTATTTTTTGGCTTTGCCCTGTGCTGAATGTGGTTATGTGCGTACGCCACCTCATCACATTAATTAATTCGACCAACCTGGTGTCTCTTTTAATATCTGCCCTTACATTGCACCTTCAAATATTATCCACTGATAATTTAATAGATTATTTTGTTTGTTTTGTCAAGTATTGATGAGTGGGATAATTTAAATTTTAATGGATTCTTCTGTTATGACATTTGTAAAGTTAGTTTACAAATCTTTATCGACAAGTAAGATATAATGATTTTAATTCTGGCGCGTAGCTCCAAAAAAAAAAAGCTCTGTTTATTCTGCGCCATTGAATTTAAAGTCAAAGTTTTCTAAATAACTAAGCTCTATAGGAAGAGTATACTTGTATACTCCAGTTTGGGAAAACATCCAAAAGAAACTCCATTATCATCATTATTATTATGAAGTGAAAACCAGTCACAATCTCCATTGTCATTTTATTATACTCAAGTTTGGACACTTGGAGCTTCGTAGGTCACAACCCACAAATTTGGGATGCTTGAAGTTTAGATTTGAGACCCCTATGCCTTTCTTTTTCTTGCAAATTTTCAATTTCCCAAGACATCGTTACACTTTTGAGATTTAATTCACTAGCTTAAATGTGCCCTACAAGCTCACAAAGTTTGGTGCATAGGCCAAGTGGACGGTACCTCATGAGCACTGCTCAATGCTTGACAAGATCTAGTACATGATCAAGTTTTGACTTTTTCTTAGCCGTAGATAATCCTTTCACCTTCTCTATCTAGTGTAAAATACAGTCTGAAAGATACAACTTACAAGAGTAGATGCTACGGGCTCACCAAAGGCAACATCCTAGAACTAACATGTTAGATATTTTTATTAGTTGGCAATCTTCTAAAAATTTAAAAAATAAGTTCAAGAAGATTTTAGATTGCGGAAGAAGAATTCGAATCAGATTTGAAGTTAAAGTTGCAGATTTTGTTGAGTTGTGATTTAAAGAGATAAGGATAAAGGCTTGATCAAAGAAAAATAAAACATTGGTTGAGATTTGGAGAGATAAAGATAAGGCATTAGTTATTTGAATTTAAATGGGAGATAAAGCTTGCATGAAGATCAAATTATTTTCGGATTTGAATTCTTGACTTCATCCGATTATTGTTAGAAGAGTTGAATGGCTTATATAAATATATATATATATATATATGTGTATGTATTCCCGTGAACTACACAATTAAGCTTGAGTTGCACATGAGAATTGGAACTTGAAATTTGACTTGGTAAAAGAAAAGTCAAAGATAACTTGCTATAATGAAAGATAAGGCATTGACGTGAAAATGGCTAAGAGAATTTAGATGTTGTAAATAAAGCTGAGGATGATTTTTTGATATCTGAATATAGATTCAAAAGTTGAAAAGGGAGATACGTGGAATGAGTTTATATGAGAAGTGGCTCTGTAGGAAAAGGAGGGTCGACAACAGGAAAAAGTCTTGTGATAGAGAATCGATGCTTAAGTAGAACAATCTGTAGTTTATGTTTTTTCTCATTGAAAGTATGAACAACTGAAGGGAGTTCAACAGTTAAAGGTGAATACGTATGGTACACGCTAAACAGTGTCATTGTTAGAGTTCATCACAGCGACATCATAATCTAGGAGGGAGTCCTTAAGTGAATAAGTCTGTCAAGATTGTAATTCTTAAATCATAGTAAAATTGTTTACTGTCTGGGAGTGGCTTCACAGAGTAGGTGTGCGCACCAAACTGCGATATCATATTGTGTGTTTCTTTACTTTCTGCACTTTATTTTACTCGAGCAACTGAACGTAATTAACTCAGATCTATCATAACACATAATGACATTTGAGCTCTCTTTCGCTAGTTCTTTCCAACAAATTATTACTCGTCTCACATAATTTGGCAATGCGGGAATTTTCATGCTTAAAAATACCACTACCAAACTAATCTATTAAACGCAAAAGTAGGTAGCCGAGCCGACAATAGTAGAGCCACAGGTAATATGCAACATGGAGTGGCAAAATCTTTTGAGATTCCAATGCATCATATAGATTGATTTGTAAGGAAATGCGCAATAAACTTTGATCATGCGGCCAAACTGCCCTAAATATAATAATCACAATAGAATATACACGCAACCATGAGAGCAACCCTCTACTTAATTGATCAACACTAGTCATTACACCCATGTGTCTAAAGAATCAAGTTCAGATAAGATTGCAATTAAAAGACTAAGTACCAAAAAAAGAACTAGCAAATATCCTTATCCTTTTCTTCTTCTTAAACAAGTAAACAACTTCAAGCAAGAAATGTGAAATTTGCACCCGCTTTTAGCATTCCAATCATTAGATCACATCATCATATCAACAATTTGTGCTCTTTGCTTTACACGCTCTAACAATGTTTGTCTGCCAATAACTATGCAAAATAGTTTAATACGATAGAATAAGTCGTCAACTCACTGTGTTGGTGGCACGTCACAGTTTTCTGCTTCTCAAATCAATAGAAGATAAATGAACACAAGGATTGTTGACCTAATTGGGCTAGAAATAATGTCATAAAATGCTTGTACACTGTAAACCTTTTGGAGTTGAAACTGCTAGGACACATTCAAATATTTGGTGTCTGTTTGTTGTTGTGCAAATGGTCCACTTGACTGACCTCACAAGGGGATACCATATACTAACTAATACTTGTGTAAAAGGAACATCCTAATTAATAGTGCTCAATATTATGAACACACAATTCAACATTTCTCTACTCTTTGTGCGCAATAAAGGAAGCAAATTCTTTTCACACAAGCAGAAAAATACATCCTGCTCTCACAATCCCCTGACCAGTATATGGATTCATCACAAGGATAATATAGATTCCATAAAATGTTCAACTTTCTATTTCAATAGCATCTTTTGATGCCAAATTTTGCATCTTCGACATAAGATTACAATAATTTAACCAAGGAAAAAAAGAAAAAAAGAAAAAACTTAAGAGGGTTATTCCACAGACATGTATACGGTTTTTCAAGTTTGCAAATTAAACACTCTAGTTTAGCTACAGTTTAGCTTTTGGATTTTTCAACATGAATTTAAGGCTTCATGGTGCAACTACAAATCAAGCATGCCCATGTCCATAACAATGACGAAGAAACATTTTAACAGATGGAAAAAAAAAAAAAAAAAAAAAAAAAAAAAAAAAAAGGTTCTTTTTTTGGAAAAAAAAAAAAAAAAACTATTGATAGTTATTTATTTTCAGCAGTTAAATATGTATTATAAATTATTCGTTCTGCATACTTTTTAATCTCATGTGATGTTAACTAAAAAAAAAATTTAAAAAAAGGAAAAAAAAAAAAAAAAAAAAAAAAAAAAAAAAGATAGGTTATTTCTTTTTGGTGAAAATATGGCAAACCCATTAAGCTGTTAGAAATAAAAGAAGATAATAATATTCACTCAATAAAGTAAAAGTAGACAAGAGAAAGTAATTGACTACAATACTTCATTCATTGATTGAAATAGCCTTTAAATAGGCGTACACCAATGACATGTACAAATAAAATTACCCACTTACTTTACCACTACTGACTCCATTATTTAGAACATGTCAAAACAAACTCCTATAAAGAAGCCAAGTAACAGCAACTACTAAACAGACTAACAAATGCCTATAGAATAGGACAACATAACAGACTCCAATGGACTCGGACAACTTTGTTCAACCGTCCATTCCTCTCTTTGATGATCATTATGATCATTGGAGCATGTTAATGGAGAACTTTCTAAGATCTAAAGAGTATTGGCACGTCGTCTCTGAAGGATTTACGGAACCAGCAGCTAGTACGACAATGACACAAGCACAAAGAACGGAGCTAGAAGGGCAGCGGTTGAAAGATCTCAAGGCAAAGAATTATCTTTTCCAAGCAATTGATCGCTCAATCTTGGAACCATTCTTTGCGAAGACACTTCGAAACATATTTGGGATTCCATGAAGAAGAAGTACCAAGGTTCTGCAAGGGCAAAGAGGCAGCAGCTTCAAGCACTTCGTACGGAGTTCGAAACACCTCGAATGAAGTCGGGAGAATCAGTTACAGATTATTTCTCTCGAACAATGGCGATCGTGAACAAGATGCGGATCTACGGGGACGAGACAAAGGACGTGACCATAGTAGAGAAGATTCTTCGATCCATGACACCAAAATTTAATTTTGTTGTTTGTTCCATAGAAGAATCCCATGATATTGATGAACTTTCAATTGACGAATTACAAAGTTCTTTGTTGGTTCATGAGCATAAATTTAACCATCAGGAGAAAGAGGAGCAAGCTCTAAAGGCCTCAACAGAAAATCACTCGGCGACAAGAGGAGACAGAGGACGTGGTAGAGGTCGAGGCAGAGGCAGAGGAAACAATGATCGTGGAAACCAACAACAACACCAACACCAGCACCAAGACAACCAATTTCAAGGAAGAGGAAGAGGACGAGGTGGCAACCACTCGACTTCATATAAATCGAGGTCAGCAGACAAGTCCAATGTGGAGTGTTACAGATGTCATAGGTACGGCCACTACAAGTCTGAATGCTGAACTAATCTAACTAGACAAGGTGAAGAAAGAACTAACTTCGCAGAAAAAGAAGAAGAGGTGTCTCTTTTAATGGTGTGTCACGTGAAGGAAGAAACTCAACCAAACATGTGGTATTTAGACACTGGCTGCAGTAACCACATGTGTGGAGATAAGAAGGCGTTCTCTGACCTGGATGAATCTTTTCGCAACACCGTTAAGTTTGGTGACAACTCCACAGTTTCTGTTATGGGCAAAGGAAGGGTAACTATTCAAACTAAAGAAAATTGCACCCACACTATCTCAAATGTTCTTTTTGTCCCAGATCTAAAGACCAACTTGCTTAGTGTGGGTCAGCTGCAAGAGAAAGGGTACGAGATTTCTATCAAAGACAGAATATGTCAAATCCAAGATGCAAAGTTGGGCTTAATTGCTCAAGTTAATATGACGGCGAATCGTATGTTCCCACTTTATCTCCACAACACCACTCATTCATGCTTCTCAGCAAAACTGAAGGATGCAGCATGGCTATGGCATTTTCGCTATGGTCACCTAAGTTTTGGTGGATTGAAGACTCTACAGCAGAAAAATATGGTGACTGGTCTTCCTCAAATTACTGCTCCATCTAAAGTTTGTGAAGAATGTGTTGTTAGCAAACAACACCGAAATCAATTTCCGCAAGGAAAATCATGGAGAGCAAAGAAGCAATTGGAGCTGGTTCATTACGACCTTTGCGGGCCAATAAATCCACCTTCCAATGGAGGTAAAAGATACCTAATCACCTTCATTGATGATTTTAGCCGAAAAACATGGGTGTATTTTTTGCAGGACAAGTCTGAAGCTTTTACATCTTTTAAAAGCTACAAAGTTCTTGTTGAAAAAGAAGTTGGCAGCCAAATAAAAGTTCTTCGTACTGGTGGAGAATACAACTCACATGAATTTGCAAATTTATGTGAGACTCATGGAATTCAAAAACAACTTACTTCAGCTTACACGCCGCAGCAAAATGGCATTGCAGAAAGGAAGAATCATACAATCTTGAACGTGGTGAGGTCAATCTTGGCAAGGAGCGGGATTCCAAAAAGATTTTGGCCAGAAGCTGTCAATTGGAGTATTCATGTATTAAACAGAAGTCCCACCCTTGCAGTTCAAAATATGACGCCGCAAGAAGCTTGGAATGAATGGAGACCTGCTGTGGACCACTTCAGAATTTTTGGTTGCATTGCATATGCCCACATTCCATATCAGAAAAGGAGCAAGCTTGACGACAAAAGAGAAAAATGCATCTTTCTTGGTGTTAGTGAGCAGTCAAAAGCGTACAAATTGTACAAACCTATCACCAAGAAAATTGTCATTAGTCGTGACGTAATTTTTGAAGAAGAAAGATTCTGGACATGGAACAATGTCAAGCAACAAATACTGGCAGACGTTGATGAAGAAAATGAAAGGCAACAGCCCGTGGAGAATGGACAACCGGTGGAAAACGAACAACAACCAATTGCTGAAGACCTTCCAAGCCCAGTTGGAGTTGATGTTGTTGATGAACAACGACCTCAACGAGTTAAAAAAAGACCAGCATGGATGTCTGATTATGAGGTACCCGGGAAATCCATTTGAAGACCCACTTACACATTTTGCTCTTTTTTCATATTGTGATCCTATAGCTTTCAGAGATGCTGTCAAGGAGTCAAAATGGCGGAAGGCTATGGATGCAGAAATAGCAGCCATTGAAAAAAACAACACTTGGGAGTTGATGGAGCTTCCAAAAGGGCAAAAGAGCATTGGTGTGAGGTGGGTATACAAGACAAAACTAAAGGAGAATGGAGAAATTGACAAGTATAAGGCACGCTTAGTCGCTAAGGGCTATAAGCAAGAGTTCGGCATCGACTACAAAGAAGTCTTTGCTCCAGTTGCAAGGCATGACACAATCAAACTAGTGATTGCATTGGCGGCACAAAACTCATGGCCCTATTTTCCAAATGGATGTGAAATCATCATTTTTACATGGCGACTTAGAAGAATAGGTATTTATTGATCAACCTCCTGGTTATGTGAAGCTTGGAAGTGAAAGTAAAGTTTATAAACTCAAAAAGGCATTGTACGGGCTAAAACAAGCTCCACGCGCTTGGTATAGTCGTATAGATGCTTATTTTTCTAAAGAGGGATTTAAAAAATGTCCATATGAACATACACTTTTTACAAAAATTAGAGATGGAGGAAAATTGCTCATTGTTTGCTTATATGTTGATGATCTTATTTTCACTGGAAATGATAGTGCAATGTTTGACAAATTTAAAAAATCTATGATGGTTGAATTTGATATGTCTGATCTTGGAACGATGCATCATTTTTTGGACATTGAAGTGGTGCAATCTGCAACTGGAATTTTTATTTCTCAAAGGAAGTACGTGCAAGAAATTTTGGAAAGGTTTCAAATGAAAAATTGCAACTCTGTTAACACACCTACTGAAGTTGGTTTGAAGCTTGTTCGAGATCCTGAAGGAAGGAAGATTGATAGCACTCTTTACAAGCAAATTGTAAGGAGTTTGGTGTATTTAACAGCTACTACTGGCATAATGCATGTTGTAAGTCTTATTAGCAGGTACATGGAATGTCCAAGGGAGATACATCTTTTAGCTGCAAAAAGAACCTTTCGATACTTGCAAGGGACTATTGGTTATGGGCTGTTTTACAAGAAAGGAGAAAAGTCAGATTTGATTGGATTTACTGATAGTGATTATGCTGGAGATCAAGATGATAGAAAGAGCACTTCAGGTTATGTCTTTATGATAGGTTTAGGAGTTGTCTCATGGTCTTCAAAGAAACAACCAATTGTCACGCTATCAACAACCGAAGCCGAGTTCGTTGCTGCAACTTCATGTGCCTGCCAAGCTATTTGGTTGAGAAAAGTTCTTGAAGAGCTCTATTTCAAGCAACAAGGACCGACCCCAATTAATTGTGACAGCAGTTCAGCAATTAAGCTCTCCAAGAATCCTGTTTTACATGGGCGAAGTAAACATATAGATGTGAAGTATCACTTCTTGAGAAATCTCACCAACGTTGGAGTCATTGATCTTCTCTTCTGCAGAAGTGAAGACCAAGTTGCTGATATATTTACTAAACCCCTCAAAGTGCCTTTATTTCAGAAGCTACGGAAATTGCTCAGTGTACGCACTTTGGAATGACCGGTTTAAGGAATGATTTTTGTTACTAATGATGTCTAAACTGAATGTTCGAAAATCTTTCAGTTTAAGGGAATGAATGTTGTGTCACGTGGGTTTATTTGATTAAGTGGGTAGTTTTATTTGTACGTGTCACTGGTATACGCCTATTTAAAGGCTATTTCAATCAAGAAGTATTGCAGTCAATTACTTCCTCTTGTCTACTTCTACTTTATTGAGTGAATATTATTATCTTCTTTTATTTCTAACATAAGCAACAGTCCAAAGTTTGGTATAGCGGGTGGAGATAAAATTTGAAATAACTGTGACAGCAAGAAATTATGTAGCAATTCACATTGCATAAAGATTTGATCACTATGTAAGCATTTATTCATAAAAATAAAAAATAAAAAAAATAAAAAAAAAAATCGCCTTAAGTTATACCCTAAACTCTAAAGAGTAAAGATTTATCATCTATGGTCGTTGTCAGAAAATTTTCAAAACCGAGAGAGGACCTTTCGAAGTGATCGGCTTCTACCTCAGTCATCGGCGGCGATGTCGGCGTCACCGGAAGACTTGCGAGCAGAGTCGTCGGCGACGTCGTCGCGGTCGCGATCCGGGTCGGACTTGTCCATGGCGGCTCGGGCCTTGTCGAGGAAGGGCTTGAAAGCAAGCTCGATCGTCATCCACCCGAGCGCTAGGGCTCCCAACACCACCATTGCTTGCTTCGTGGCGGTCGATTTCCTCATTTTCCCTCCAAAAACTTCCTTTCTTTTTCTCTTCCTCTCTTCTTTTCTGTTCTGTGCAGTGTGCACGAAAATGCCCTCTGATTCTCTGTAAAGTTGAGGTTTTTTTTTTTTTTTTTTGTACTTTTGACCCTAAACTTTTTTTGTTTTATAACTTGCTCTATGAATTTTTAATGTTAGTAATTCAGCCCTCTAGCATGCAAAATGTTACATTGTGACCTATTTTACTAAATTTTGTCTTGAATTTTGGTCTGATTTGAAGCCCTAAGGGTTGAAGAATTGTGATTTTGGATTTTGTAGTTTTGATTTTTTTTTGTAGGATTTGAGGCATCAAGAGCTGAGAAATTGAGAGATTTATGCCGAGATTTAAATTGGGATTTTAGAATTTTTAGTTGGATGTACTTTTCAATATAACACAAGAAAAAATGAAATAAATATCTTTTAAAGTGTATGAGTCTAGATTTTTATCTTTTATTCTTGATTAATATTAATTTTAGTCAAATAACTCTATTACAAATGGGTATTAAAAGAAGTAAAAATCTAAACTCATACACTCTAAGAGTAAGTTCAATAATTTTCTCATAACAACACAATCATCAACAGTTTTAATAAGTTGTATTACAATAGTTTAACAAGTTGGGGGATAAATTGTCGTTTAAGGGAACAAATTGCCAAGGCTGAAAATTTGAATAAATAAATGTGCTAATTAAAGAAGGGAACTCTATCACGAAGAAATTGTGGGTAGAATTAATTAGTAATAAATCTTTGATTAGCACAAAAATTAGTAATAAATCTTTATGTTCTTTCGTGATGCGATTTCAAATATAAAAGAAACAATATTCGTGTTTGCGTTTGCCAATGTTTAGGCTTTGGACTTTTTTTTTTTTAAAGAGAAATTTAGAGAAATGCTCGAAGATTTATTTTCTAGCATATCAATATCTAATCTAGTGAAATTGTTCTAATTCTTTAGTGTAGGTGCTTTAAGCAATATGGTGTATTTTCTAAGCTTTTATGTTGAATATAGTTCTTCTGATCAGATAATTTAGCAACCCCAATTACTGAAAAGTAATGATTCAAGGTCTCGTGCCTAGAAACATTAGGATTTAAATTTTAATCTTAAGGAGTTGTTTAGGACTAGATATTCCTTTTAAGTTCTAAATGAATTCTCTCTCTCACACTTCGCATTTTTTCAATTATGTTAATTAAAAAAAGAGAAACTCAGGAAGCTTTATAGCTATAATTACAATAATATTGATTAACCCAGCAAATTTTTATCCCATGCGTTTGATTCGTTTCCATTGCATATACTCAAAATTCATAGACGTGAAAATCACAATTTGTTAGCTGCCCGTTTAGTTCGCTGATTCGAGTTGAGATGTGATTTTATGTGAGAATTTTTTACTGTAGTAAAAAAGTTAGATGTGATTATTTGTGAGAGCTTTTTACTGTAGTAAAACTCGAATCAGTGAAATGAACAGGGCAATTTCAAAATTTGGTCAATTTTACTACCATTATTTGTCTCTTTCGAAGACCGGAAACCATTTCAATTTCAGAGTACGTAGATCTTCATGGGTGGCAACAATGTCAACGTATACTCATCTAAAAGACCTGTAATCATCTGTGATCTGACGGTGGGATAGTGGAAGGCCACCATATCTGGTATTTCAGCTAATTAAGAAATCTACTTCTCTTATATATATATATAT